CATCCATCATGGGGCATACTCCAATGACTGAGCCAGCCAGGTACCCCTGCTTTTTGTCTTTTGTTTTGTTTTGTTTGGGTTTAAGATTTATTTATTTTATTTTGAGAGAGAGAGTGTGGGGTAGAGGGTGACAGAGGGAAATTGAAAGAGACTTTCAAGCAGACCCCCCTGAGTGCAGAGTCAACATGGGGCTGGATCTCATAACCCTGTGATCATGACCAGAGCTGAAATCAAGAGTCAGACACTTAACCAACTGAGCTACCCAGGTGCCCCTGTTTTTTGTCCCAATTAATAAATGAAGAAGGAATGATACAGAATGATTAGATCCAGCATTGAGCATGCCTACTGATGGAGGAAAACCTCATCCTTACGAGTAGTCTTAGGGTAAAAACATTCAGCCTGTATCTAATCCTGCCACTAGGTCCACCTGTCAGTTTCAAGATATTCAGGGCACAGAGGCATGTAAATGCATTGGGTATGGGATCAGCAATATCCTGGTTGTAGAAATTATAAGAGGTAAACTGGTTCTTCAACAAGTAAATTGCAAGGGAGGGGGAAAAAACATGAAGGACGACCTAGAAATTAAAAGATACAGGAAACTTCCCAAATAATCATGATATATATGGACCTTTTTTGGATCCTAATTCAAACAAACTTTAAGAAGTATGGTATTTGAGAGAATTTGAATTGAAAGTTGATATTTTTTTTTAAATAAAGATTTTGTTTATTTATTTATTTGACAGACAGAGATTACAAGTAGGCAGGCAGGCAGAGAAAGAGGAGGAAGCAGGCTCCCTGCCGAGCAGAGAGCCCGATGCGGGGCTCGATCCCAGGACCCTGGGATTATGACCTGAGCCGAAGGCAGAGGCTTTAACCCACTGAGCCACCCAGGCGCCCCTGAAAGTTGATATTAGGGGACTGTCAGTTTTTAGGCATTTAATGATACGTTTTTGTTATATGATCTTTTAAGTCTTTATCTTTTAGCGCTGCATACCAAAGTATATACGAATATGATAGGGATTAGCTTCAAAGAAATATGAAGGAGGGAGGGCATAGATAAAACAAGGACAACTTTGGGTTGATAATTTTTGAAGCTGGGTTATGGATACATATCTACTTTGTATTTAATTAGAATTTTTATCATTTTTTTAAAATAAAGATTTTATTTGAGAGAGCGAGCGAGCTAGTGCGCTCAGGCATATGCAGAGGGCGAAAAGGAAAAGCAGACTCCCTGCTGAGCAAGGGTTAGGGTTAGGTCCCCAGGACCCCAGGATCATGACCTGAGCTTAAGGCAGCTGCTTAACAGACTGAGCCACCTACGCACTCCTATATCTCAATTTTAAAATAGCAGAAAAGGGGGCGCCTGGGTGGCTCAGTGGGTTGAGCCGCTGCCTTCGGCTCGGGTCATGATCTCAGGGTCCTGGGATCGAGTCCTGCATCGGGCTCTCTGCTCGGCAGGGAGCCTGCTTCTCTCTCTCTCTCTCTCTCTCTCTCTCTGCCTGCCTCTCTGTCTGCTTGTGATCTCTCTCTGTCAAATAAATAAATAAAATCTTTAAAAATAAAATAAAATAGCAGAAAAGAATCACAGCATTCTTGATTCAGAGACTCATAATTGGAATGTGATGAAAGTTTGCCACTTTCACTTGGTTATAGTATGATTCTCAAATTTGCTGCCCATCCCAAGTTTTCTTCTTGATGTGGCCCTGCATTACCTGTGTGCTAGCCTTTATTTTCTGAAATCCATTTTTTTACTTGGCAGTTATTCAGAAGAAATGAAAATACCCCTAAATTGAGTAAGAATTGAATTTCAGCTTCTTTGTTAATGTGAGAAGTACTAAGTCTGAATACACTTAACAGCAAAATAATAGAGAAGGGTGGGGGGGAAATCCAGGTTTTTGTTTTGTTTTGTTTTCCTTGTGAGAAATTAAGTTAAAGGTTTGGTGTGGAAAGAGGTGTTAAATGTGAGTAGAGTGATAGTTTGGGAAGATCCATATATTGTAGTACTGCGTATTTAGTAATTCCTGCCTCCTTCGATCAAAAATAGTTGAAAGGTGACTATATGCCATGCATCATTTGAAAGACCACAGAGAATGATGGTGTTTCTGTCATGAGCATCTTGGTAGAGATATGAAATAACAGCATTTCATCATATTAATGAAAGTTTCTTTTTGATAACTGGAAAACTACAAGAAAGGTGCTAAATTCGCATTTTCATTGTTCAAGTTTGTGAAATATTTAAGTTGTTATCTCTATTGTGGTGTGGCCCATCTTTTCAAAAGAGTTGTTTTTTGACCCTGAACTACAGGTGCTAAAAGAGTGATCATGGTCAGAGATAAGAGTGTAGGCCATAATTGAGGACTGTTTGAAAAAAAAAACTTGGTTTCATGGGAAGCCTGGGTGGCTCAGTGGGTTGGAGCCTCTGCCTTCAGCTCAGGTCATGATCCCAGAGTCCTGGGATCGAGCCCCACATCGGGCTCTCTGCTCAACAGGGAGCCTGCTTCACTTCCTCTCTCTGCCTGCCTCTCTGCCTGCCTGTGATCTCTGTCTGTCAAATAAATAAATAAAATCTTAAAAAAAAAAAAAACTTGGTTTCAGTGTCTTTCAGAGGTGTTAGATACAAGTTTGTGAAATGTGCTCAGTTAACAGATGTGTTGTTTTTTTTTTTTCTGGGTTGACGAGCCTTATTGGTTAATTCCATCTTGTTTATTGTAAAGAACTTAGAAACTATTTTCTGAGTTGAATTTTTTACCTGTCTTGAATCTTTTAATGTTTATTGGTTGTCTTGGCAGAGCATATATCTGGGAAGTTCTTTTTCTCACTCACTTGGTAGAAACTGGTTAGGTGACAGACACTTAGCCCTCTTTTCAGATTTACTCTTCCCGCTGTTTCTTAGAGTATCTTTTTCATGGGAGGACTTAACATAGTATGATTTTGTGATCACGTGGAAGAAACTTTTGATTATTCTTATTATAACTCATTGCATTACAAAATAAAACATGTACTCAAGTTTCTTAAAATATTGTAAATAGTTGAGGTAAAAGACCAGACTTTTGGATATGCTATTAAAATATCCATATGCATGACGTTGAAAACCACAATTTGCATTCAGATAACTCTGCTTACTCAGAAGGAAAGTTTCTTATTGATTGCTCAGCATGTGTATGGGGAGTTTGCTTTGCTTGCACCTTGTCGGGGTTGAAAGAAGGTGCTTGAGAACCATCTATAGAGGTTATCATCCACAGTTTATATGCCTTCTGCTGGTTGTTTGATATTTATGCATTATTTGTCTGTTGGCTATGAGCCTGAGAAAGTTAAACAGCAAAGAGAACTGGTATAAAATTAAATAGTTACAAAAGAAACTTGTTGGGGCACCTGGGTGGCTCAGTTGGTTAAGTGTCTGCCTGCGGCAAAGGTCATAATCCCAGGGTCCTGGGATTGAGCCCTGTGGCGGGGGTGGGCTCCCTGCTCATTGGGGAGCCTGCTTCTCCCTCTCTCTCTGCCTCGAACCCCCCTACCTCGTGTGCGCGTGCTCTCTCCCTGGCTCACTTGCTTTGCTTTCTCAATAAATAAAATCTTTAAAAAATAAAAATAAAAAGCAAAGTTGTTTAGAATGTTTTCTTTTTCAGTGAAACTGGACTGGACAATACAGAAGTTTGTGTTGTGCAGTCTTTGCTCAAGGAATGCCCATGATACGGATTTGGCTTCTTTTTAATTCGGTTTCTGGCTAGCATCGTCTTTTATATAGATAAGTTCAATGTGAAACTAAGAAAATTTAAGTTGGTACCTTATATATATGGTTTTTTTTTTTTTTTTTTTTTTCCTTGTACGTATCTTCTCCCCTCTGTGATTTTGGTCTGGGAAGACAAATAATTAGAATATTAGAGACCAGTTAGAATCAAGCTAGGCACTTTACCCATTGAAACTGTGGGCAGTTGGCTACAGCTAACTCACCTGGGACATTTCAAGGGAATAACACCATCTCTTGGGCATCTTCAAAACGAATCCATCAAGTTGGATCCAGCTACTTAGACTATTTATTTAGTTTTAGGTTGGTAGTTTTGTTTTGGCTTAGGGGTTTGGTAAAAAAAAGTTTCTGGAATACTAAGGGCACTGTGAGAACCTTTGCATTAAAGGCTTTGTTTGAACATTGAGCATAATGCTTCCACAATTCCAAGGCAGATTGACCTTTAGTCAACTAGTATGGGGGGGGGGCAGAATAGCAGGCAATATCTCTTTGTCTGCATTGCAAAGGTGTAAGCTTTATGTTTATAAGAAGCATGTAACTTAAGCAAGTGTTTTCAAAGTAAAGGCTAACTCCAAAATCATGGTGAATTACAAGGATACAATTTGGGGGGGACTCTTACCCACTTTCTGAATTCAGAGCAATCCAGAATTTGACCCTGCAACATCATTGTTTTGAAAGAACAACTAACAAGCCTACGTTTATAAACTGGGACTAGACTCAGGTTCTTTATTTTAATTTTTTTAAAGACTTTATTTATTTATTTGACGGATAGAGAGATCACAAGTAGGCAGAGAGGCAGGCAGAGAGAGAGAGGAGAAGCAGACTCCCGCTGAGCAGAGAGCCCGATGCAACGCTCGATCCCATGACCCTAGGATCATGACCTGAGCCGAAGGCAGAGGCTTAACCCACTGAGCCACCCAGGCGCCCTCCAGAATATACATTTAAATTAAAGACGCTGTACTTGCATGATTTGCCTCACCCTAATCACAGCCAAACCCTAGGTATTATAAATTAAACTTTTATACTCTTAATTATTGAACAGTTTTCTATGGTCTTTTTCATAATGAATTTTTTTTTTCAAGGATAAAAGTTATAATTTTGGATCCTTCTAAATGTGGGAGGGGGGAGGTTAGGGGAAATAGAGGGAGCACGGGGGTGGGTTACTGATAGATTCAAGAATCTGATTCCATATTTTGTATAAAACTATTTCTCTCATTCTGAGGTCAGTATCTTATTTTGTCTTTTTTTCTTGTAGCATGGCGGACACCGACCTCTTTATGGAATGTGAGGAGGAGGAGCTGGAGCCATGGCAGAAAATCAGTGATGTCATTGAGGATTCTGTTGTTGAAGATTATAATTCGGTGGATAAAACTCCTACAGGTAACGAAAGCTCATGATCTTAAATTATTTAAATTGATTCAATTGGATTGCATTTTTGTTAAGAAAGTGTGAGGCGGAAGAGGACTTTAAGAATCCTCAGTGTGGCACTGGTGCTTTTTTCCTATGCTCTAGTCTGTAAACTCTAGCCTCAGTTTCTTCATACATAAAGCTAGAAACACTATACTTAATTCATTTAAAACACTGACAGTTGAATTAACTAATGCTTATCAAATATTTATCAATTCTCTTACAAATAATGAATGAACGAGAATGCAAAGTAGTGGTGTGTGTCAGTGTTCATTTATATACCTAGTCAAAAACAGGATCCCATAGTCATTTTCTTCTTCTTCTTCTTCTTCTTCTTCTTCTTCTTCTTCTTCTTTTTCTTCTTTTTTTTTTTAAACTTGATCTTGGTTTCCTTTGTGAGCTGAGCAGAATTTTCTGTGTGTCTGCCTTCATGGAAAGTTTACAAACTTAGGCTTGTTAGCTGCTCTTTGAAAAAGGTGATGCTGCAGGGTCAAATTCTAGATTGCCCTGAATTCAGAAAGTGGGTGATAGTTCTTTTCCCCCTATAAATTGTATTTGTTGTTCTCTTTATTTTTATCTTCCCTGCCTTGAGACCTGAAGACGGCATTGGTTTAGGCTGAAACAGGACACAGTTTGGGATCTTGTGGATGTCTTACTGTGCATGCATGGTTATGAATACCAATAGTGGTGATAATAAACCTTTGAGTCCTAGAGGTTTGCTTGTACTATATAAGCAAAACCTTAAAATACTGTTTCAGTGAGCTCGTGATCTAAATTAACCAGGCAGTATGAGATGAAGAAGGCTTTGTGTCTAATTGGTAGAGTAAGGGATGGGTAGAAGGAGAAATCAGATGCACAGTTGGATTTGCAAAGAAAGCAGTAAACTTCTAGAGACCCACAACAAGATGAAAAGGGATTAGAACAGTATCCTTCAGTGTCATCTGTCCCTGTCTCCAAGTGACTGTGCCTCCCCTTCCCCACAGTTTCTGTGAGCCAGCAGCCAGTCTCGGCTCCAGTGCCCATCGCTGCCCATGCTTCTGTTGCTGGGCACCTCTCTACATCCACCACCGTTAGTAGCAGCGGGGCACAGAACAGCGAAAGTACAAAGAAGACTCTTGTCACACTAATTGCCAACAACAATGGTAAGTGGGATTATCTGGAAATTCTTCCTGGGCCAGAGGGTAAGAGAATTAAAGAGGTTTTAGGAACAGCTGTACCCATTTAGTTTTAGGTATTGATGTGGTTCTACTAGTTGGAGTGAATTTAGTAATGATTCTGTGATATAGAAGTGATTTAGGAGTGGTGCTGTTCCTTCTGAGTTAGTGCTGAATTGGATGCTGGTGTTTCAAGTCTGAGGGCACCTGATTCTTGCTGCTGATAATTTCTAGGAGAGAAAATGTAAACCCCAAATTCCTAACTATTAAAGAGATCTGGGTTTTTTGTTTGTTTTTGTTATTATTATTATTAATTATTTATTTATTTATTTATTTTTTAAGTAGAAAAGCCCTACTAGTTTGTTAAGAATTCTCCCAGGGCAGCTTTGTTCTGGATTTTTTTCTGGCAGATTCATTTGGTTACTGGTTCCTGGGTATGAAAAATAGGATAGGGTTGTTGTCTACTTGAAGGAAATGGTGAAAGAGTAGTGTTTTTAGTGTATTTATTGACTAGAGAAGCTGCATAGTACTCGTTTCTATTTCATTTCTGATGACTGTTTTTACACTCTAAAGATGAATTATTGGAAAGTTATGTCTTAAGATTCGTAAGTAGAATAAGCACTTTGTAGAATCAATTGTGTTGCTTTATTATATAAAAATAGCTTTATTAATAAAAGAATATTACGTGTATTGAAGAAAAAGTACAGTGAAAAAATAAAAAAATAATTTTAACTGTAATTTCACGAACTGGAGATAACTAGTTGTAACTTTTATTTTGTACATGTACATGTATGTACTTTTATATACTTCATATGCTATATGTAATGATTTACTTTTTTCAAAAATGGATCATACAGACTCTGCTCTTTGCCTCCCTTTTCCCCTTTTTATGTAATGAATATGTTCTCATTTTAACAAATGTGTGTCTGTAACATTGTTGATGAATAACTCTGCAGTTGACCCTTGAACAGCCTTGGGGTCTGGTGCCAGCTGGCTGCACAGTTGAAAATCTGTCTATATTGGGCGCCTGGGTGGCTCAGTTGGTTAAGCAACTACCTTCAGCTCAGGTCATGATCCTGGAGTCCCAGGACCAAGTCCCACATTGGGCTCCCTGCTCAGCAGAGAGTCTGCTTCTCCCTCTGGCCTTCTCCCCTTTCTTGGTCACTCGCTCTCTTGCTTGCTCTCTCTCTCATAAAAAAAAAAAAAAAAAAAAAAAAAAAAAAAAAAAAAAAAAACTGCATATAACTTTTGACTCCCCAAAAGCTTACTTAAAGATAGCCTTCTGTTAATAACAGTTAATTAACACATATTTTGGATGTAATGTGTATTATACTGTATTCTTACAATAAAGTAAGCTAGGGAAAAGAAAATGTTATTCAAAAAATCATGAAAAAGAGAACCAACACAGTACAGTACTGTATGTATTGAAAAAAAAAAATCCACGTACAAGTGGACCCGTGCAGTTCAAACCTGAGTTGTTCAAGGGTCAGCTGTATTTCCTGTCATTTGGTTAACTGTTATAAACAGTAATAGTAGTGAAGGCCTGTACTGCTGCTTTAAAGAGCTGTGGTGAGCATGTCTATCTTTTCTCACATCCTTAGTTCTGAGAATGTATTTATAAATTTCAGATTGTTGAATCAAAGGTCGTCACAGTTTTTAGGATTTTGGTAATTTTCCTGAACTGGCCATCTAGAAATGTTATATCAGTTTAGATTACCATTAGAAGTGCATATAGTGAGGGGCACCTGGGTGGCTCAGTGGGTTAAAGCCTCTACCTTTGGCTCAGGTCATGATCCCCGGGTCCTGGGATCGAGCCCCCCTTGGGCTCTCTGCTCAGCGGGGAGCCTGCTTCTCTCTCTCTCTCTGCCTGCCTCTCTGCCTACTTGTGATCTCTGTCTGTCAAATAAATAAATAAAATCTTAAAAAAAAAAAAGAGGTGCATATAGTGGGGTGCCTGGGTGCCTCTGTTGGTTAAGCGACTGCCTTCAGCTCTGGTCCTGATCCCGGAGTCCCGAGATCAAGTCCCACATTGAGCTCCCTGCTCAAAAGGGAGTCTGCTTCTCTCTCTGACCCTCCCCCTTCTTGTGCCTTCTCTCTCTCTCAAATAAATAAATAAAATCTTTAAATTCTTTTTTTAAGATTTTATATATTTATATGACATTTATATGATAAGCACAGGGGAGCTGGAGAGGGAGAAGCAGGCTCCCCATTGAGCAGGGAGCCTGACGTGGGCCTTGATCCCAGGACTCTGGGATCATGACCTGAGCCGAAGGCAGTGGCTTAGCAAACTGAGCCACCCAGTCAACTCTCCTGTATTTCTCCTTTTTTTTTAAATTTGAGAGAGAGAGCATGAGTAGAGGGAGGGGCAAAGGGAGAGGGACAAGCAGACTCCCTGCTGAGTAGGGGCCCCTGACATGGGACTTGATCCCAGCACCCTGAGATACTTTTAATATTCAAATTAAAATGTTAACCCATACTAATGGAAAAAAAATTGGGTATAGACTGGTAACCATAGTTACATGTGTCATGCGTATTCTTCCAAAAATTTTTCTTGCCTAGATAAGCATGCATTAATAGATCCAGTTTGCCTAGCCATCTCCTTTTTGCATAATGTAGACAACTCTGTAACTTTTTTTATCTTACATTTTTTTTCTTTTAATATTTATTTATTTATTTATTTGACAGACAGAGATTACAAGTAGGCAGAGAGGGAGGCAGTGAGAGAGAAGCAGCAGCAGGCTCCCTGCTGAGCAGAGAGCCCGATGCGAGGCTCGAACCCAGGACCCTGGGATCATAACCTGAACCTAAGGCAGAAGCTTTAACCCACTGAGCCACCCAATCTTAGGGATCCCTGGTGGGTGGGGAGTCTACTTTGTCCTCTCCCTCTGCCTCTCCCCCTGCTTGTGCTCACTCTCTCTCCTTATCTTACGTTATTGATATAATTACATTGCCCCTTATCTTATATTCTTGAAATGCTAATCTAGGTTTAGGGATGGGACTTCAGAATAGAGTGAATTAAAAATGTTCCATTATTATTGGAAGGAGGAGGTGGCTATTGGTAACCAGGCACCAGCCACACAGGCGCCCCAAAATGTTCCATTTTGGGGCGCCTGTGTGGCTCAGTGGGTTAAAGCCTCTGCCTTCAGCTCAGGTCATGATCCCAGGGTCCTGGGATCAAGCCCTGCATTGGGCTCTCTGCTCAGCAGGGAGCTTGCTTCTGCCTCTCTCTCAGCCTTCCTCTTTGCCTACTTGTGATCTCCGTCTGTCAAATAAATAAATAAAAATCTTTAAAAAAAAAAAAGTTCCATTTTTGGGATGCATGGGTGGCGCAGTTAAGTGTTGGATTCTTGGTTTTGGCTCAGGTTGTGATCTCGAGGTTGTGGGATTGAGCCCCATGTTGAGCTCCGCACTCAGCACAGAGTCTACTGGAGACTGTCCCTCCCCTGCACACATGCTTTCTCTCTCTCTCTTTCTCTCAGATAAATCAGTCAGTCAGTCAGTCTTTTAAAAAAAAAATGTTCCAGGGACGCCTGGTGGCTCAGTAGTTAAGCTTCTGCCTTCAACTCAGGTCATGATCCTAGGATCCTGGAATCGAGTCCCAAATTGGACTCTCTGCAGCTCAGGAAGCCTGCTTCTCCCTCTCATACTCCCCCTGCTTGTGTTCCCTCTCTCACTGTGTCTCTCTGTCAAATAAATAAATAAAATCTTTTTTTTAAAAAAGTTCTTTCAACCCAATTTTCCTCTGTCTTCTATTTAGTTGTATTGGTGTATTATCTACTTAATACATTAATAACATAGCAAGAGAGAACTTTTAACCAATTCAGTATTCTTTCACTTAGTGTACTTTATACTTGAGATAGTTAAAAAGTTGTCTTTTCCTGCTGCTTCCTTTTAAACCAATTTTAAAACTTATCTGGCTCCTGGTTACCAAAAGCCACCTCCTCCAATAATAATATTGTAAAAAACTGTTTTGGGGGAGGGTATGGATTTCGCTTTTATAATTTACCTGGTTTCTCTTGTTTCCCTTGCCCTCTCTACATGGAAACCATTTCCTTGACTCTTGTTTTTTGTGGTTTTCTTTTTTTTAAGATTTTTTAATTTATTTGACAAAGACATAAGGAGAGAGGGAACATAAGCAGAGGGAGAGGGAGAAACAGGCTTCCCATGGAGCAGGGAGCCCATTGTGGGGCTCGATCCCCGGACCCCAGGATTATGACCTGAGCTTAAGGCAGACGCTTAACGACTGAGCTGCTCAGGCACCCTGAGTCTTGATTTTTTTTTTTTTTTTTTAAGATTTTATTTATTTATTTGACAAAGAATTCACAAGTAGAGAGAAACGGGGAAGCAGGCTCCTAGGTAGTGGTTTCTTAGGCTAGCAAAACCATATGTAACCATAGAAAAAAATAGATAAATTGGTCTTTATAAAACCTTTTGTGCTTCAAAGTGCATAATCAAGAAATACACTATAACCCATAGAATGGGAGAAGAATTTTGCAAATAATATATCTGATAATGGACATGATATCTAGATTATATAAAGAATCACTATAATTCAATAATAAAAAGACAATATGGGGTGCCTGGATGGCTCAGTAGGTTAAGCTGCTGACTCTTGATTTGGGCTCAGGTCACAATCTCAATCCTGGTATCAAACCATACATTAGGCTCCATGCTCAGCAGGGAGACTGCTTCAGGAGTCTCTCCCCGCCCCACCCCCTCTCTTTCAAATAAATAAGTACATTTTTTTTTAAAGATTTTATTTATTTATTTGACAGAGATCACAGTTAGGCAGAGAGGCAGGCAGACAGAGAGAGAGAGAGAGAGGAGGAAGCAGGCTCCTCGCTGAGCAGATAGCCCGATATGGGGCTCGATTCCCAGGACTCTGGGATCATGACCTGAGCTGAAGGCAGAGGCTTTAAACCCACTGACCCACCCAGGCGCCCCAATAAGTACATTTTTTTTTTTTAAAGATTTTATTTATTTATTTG